GACATTAAGAACTTCCTGTGAATGGTTCTTCTACTATCAATACTGGTCCAATTTGAAACGAACAATCTAACGTCCTGCAGTAAGAAGAGAGCATTGGGTAAGATGCTAGGGGTGGTTTTAATTGAAAACTTACAAGCTAATGATCCTCAAAATTATCCAGGAGGATATGTTGATACTCAATCACAAAAGTAGAAATCTGAAATTATGAGAAATTTATAAGGAACATATATATAACCTCGTCATAGTGCAGTTCAAGTCAAGAATATTAGTTGAAATTAGGAGCAATTAAACAAAATACATAAAGAAGCATCTTTACCATCTTCTTAATTCATCATACAACAGACTCAATATCTTCCCTTTACTGAGCTCAGCAGCATCACCATTCAGAATTGACAACTTTTTTGCCAAGGCTACAACTTCATCCTGGGTTGGCAAAATTAGAGCACCAAGACGACGTTGATCCTATAAAATTATGCACAGTTAAACATGGATATTTGCACATTTACATAATACGTGAAATCATTACAAAGGAGGAAAGCTCAAGTTTATGGGATATCTTAGAACCCATGTGGCAATAATAAAAGAAGTGAAAAACAAATCCTTTTATCATATATTTATTCAAATGTGTCAAACGTTGAAGAAAAAAAAGGAAAAAAAATTCAAAGAGTATATTCTTTAGTCACAAAATATAAGGAAATCAACTATTAGATATTTATCATTAAAATGGTAAGGCTGTAAATATGTGTTGGTAATTTGGTATTGGTTGTCAATTATGTGTTTTCCTTCAGGATTTAATGCTGACGGCTGACAGGACCATTGTGTGTGCGCTCTTGTGTAAAATCTAGGTTCTTTTAAGATTTGCCTAATCCAAGTATTCATTATGATGCTCCATATCCATGTCCAAAGCTCAATGTTACTGTTAAATGAATCTCATGAAAGGAATTGATAGAATGCAACCATAAAAATAGGTAGTAGTGATATTACCTTTATATAAAGTTCATGAACCTCTTCAAAGAAGCTTTTTATTCGATCCTCATTACGCAGATCATGAAGAAGCATCAATCTAGTGTGTATGGCGTGGTAGGTCAAAGAAAACAAAAGAATGCTGAAACTATATATTGCATTTTAGATAGTACAATTACACCTTTTAGAACTACAAAATACTCTTAATGTGGAGACTATCAAAAGAATATGAGTCATCTACGTAGTATAAAGAGACAATTTCGACAGAACTCTCTATTTGTTTAGTGTCTGTGTAAACATCAATACTTTCTTGTATTTGTGTGAGTGCATGCATTTGTTCATTTGGAGGATCTTTTACACAGTATGTATCATAATTAGCAACATCACTTCAGAACAAACTTGAATTCGACTGTCACTCTCATACATTCTGCAAGGATATAAGAATAAACATATACATAACCTAGACTCTTCATAAACTTCAGGAAATAATCTACAGGAACTATCAAGTGGGAAAATATAGATTTATTAGGATATGACCAGCAGTGACATAAACGGACACCACCAGATCATTGAACCTGTCAATTGCCTTCAAAACTATTTGAGGTCCACCAATATTCAGAAACTCTTTGGACATTAGAAGTATATCAAGCTTTATTTATTCTAGAGACATTTAATACTTACAGAAGAATGAGCACATTTCTAGTTATGTCCTGTCAATATTACAAGGCAAATAAACATTTTTATGTCAACAAAATCCAAGGAAAAAAAGTGAAACACTACAAGCAGAGAAGAATTGTGCAAGAAGTCAAAATAATAAATACATAAGGGAAAACAAAATGTGGACCCAACAGAAATGATAGTCTTAGGGAATCGGCTTTGATGAACAAGGTAAAGAGGAAAATGATCATTAGTGTGAGCAGGCTCTTCAACTCCTCATAACAACAGATAACATCAGTACAATATTGATAAGCACAAAACAGGTTCCTAGTTGCAACAGCAAGGCCATAAATGGCTTATGAAAATCAAAGGGATGAAGTTGCAAAATCTGTTAGCTCATTCAAAGCGCACTTAAGCACCACTGTAAGGAAAATAAGCAAAAATATACATTTGAATTTTTCATAACAAAATGACTAATTAAAATAATAGGAGTAAATGAAAAAAATTCTCAGACACTTGAGTGTAAACAGATTTTTTTCCACATAATGAAAGTAAATATAAAAGAAATTCCATGCAGACGATCAGTCAAGGAACAGAAAGTATACTTTAAATGCAGACCCCAGTTCAGCTTCATAAATAGGAATATCATTCTTACTGACAATGACAAAGCATGCAGTACTCACCATTAATTTTCTTAAAATAAATTGAAATATGGAGTTATAAGCAGTGGAATGCACAAAGGACATATACAAAAGATAGAGCAAGCATTTTCACATAGCTCTTCTGTTACAGTTATAAAGTTAAAGACTCATGAAGAAACATCATATGAGTCGCATCTTTGCGTTCAAGTATCACATAACATATTCTAGTATTAAATGAACTAATGGTAAGAAGCTTTAAAAGATATTTATAAATACTACACCAAAATGTAGCGAGAGTGCATATTAATCATTTTTCTTTTTTTTGTTTTTTAAGTTTTCCTTCTTTCGTGACAACTTTGGATGTGGTGCTGATGTAAGAGCGAGAATTAGGCAGGAAAAATCATATTACCAACTCGGTAAGTTTTATAATCAAACAGAAGCCATTGTGAATTTCAAACTCTCACTGAGATTCCAATTCAGAATTCAAAATAAAATTGTATACAGTTAGCCAAAAACGACTTATCCTTTGCTTTGGTATTTAAGTCAATGGATGGCCATTTATTGGTTTGAATTTCAAACCATCATGCATTTCCCAAATTTGTCTTAGTTTCATGTCCTGTGATTTTGTATCTCAAATGGATTATTATTAGATTTAGAATACCATTGCTAACAACAAAATATACTGCAAACCAAAACTCAACATTAAACATCGCGTGCAACATAAATATAAATGATACTAAATACTTGAAGAACAACACATTCCGTTAAGTCTCCTAACATACTAATACAAAGCTAATGCAAGTTTTTGAAGCAGTTACAAAAGTTAAGGATTTGGTTTCAGAGCAGTTACAAAGTTAAGGATTTGGTTTCAGAACTCGAAGATGCAACAACAAAGAAATTGACACTATTTTGTTTGCAATAAAAAGGCTATAAGTTCGCTACAAAAGTTGTCATAACCATTGTGTGCAATTTGCCTAGCGGTAACGGTAGCAATTGTGATACCAGGAGATAATCACTGCACGAATCAGAAACCAAGTGAGAAGTATATGTTATTTAAGGGGCATCCCACTGGATAGCTCATTCATCCACTGACAATAGACTCTGTTCACGTTATTGAAGAATTTTCCATGTGATATATGACCTCTATTATCTAAGTTTATTGACCTATTTCCAAATTTATATACACAAATCACTAATTAAGGACTTAGTGAAAGAGACTAGTACTATAGGGTAACCAGTTGATGAGAGTGAAATAACTCAAGATCAAATAACTCAGAGAAGAAAGATTATATCTTTTGCTTCTTGAAATGCAAGAGACTTGTGCCATTGGCCAAGTTGGTGTCAAGTTACAGAAAAATCGGAAAATAGTTATTTCACCTATAAATCTAATTTCCACAAGATGGGTTAAGAAATTAGGAATAAATCATGACATGGAAATGACAATGTAATTCACCAAAACTTATATCCACTTCCTTTGCCTATGTTGAACTGAGGTGAGTTCATGTCAGCCCCGATACTTTCCCGATACTTTAATTTGATCAACAATCTTTAATTTGATCATAAATTACATAAATTTCGTTAATTAGGAGCCTGCTACTCTGGAGGAATATTTGCACATTTGCATATATCTATGAACTTATTTGTAACTAGTTCCATTTTTTCCCATGATAAATTAGATGGCAATGTCATTTAACAAACTTGTATAAAAATTAATGTCTACCTCGTTGACTCAATCAAACTATGTAAGAAACTGGCTGATAATCTTCTTTATTGTTTATACTTAAAATCAGACTTGGTTCTTTAGGTGAGCTGTGAGCTGTTAAAAGTCTAAATGTGCACGAATACCCAATTACAGTGTCATATTCTCAACCGCGAACTTTAAACTCGTAGTAGGCATGGTTTTCATCAAGATATTATTCCTGCTAGGGGATACTCTCAATCTCTTTCATAAAAAAAAGTAATCGAATTTAACATAAAGTTGGTTATCGGATACAAATTATTAAGATGCTTTAGCTTCTCATAACATTTTGCTCTAAATTAAACTATAGGTTAATTAGCATGCTTTTCAAGCTCGCAATCTTTGATTCCGATTTTTCTTTGGTTAACTAAGTTTAACCTGGAAAAACCACCCAAGACCACCCGAAATCACGCAAAATCGCGGAGGAAGAGGAGGGTGTCGACAGCGTCATCGTAGGCGGCGGGGAGGCGGTGCTCGTGGGCGAGGCGGTAGGCGACGGAGGCTTTGGGGGGTTTTAGATGGAGAGGGGAGAATTGGAGAAACAAAGAGGCGGAGAAATGGAAAAAATAAGCGGGGAAATGAAAAAAAAAATGAGGGGAGGCTATGGAAATTCCGTCAAGTTTGAGTGTTCATTTTAAAAAAAAATAAAAAATGGTCTAGTTTGTCAATCTAGACTAAAATTTCCGTCTAGATTAATTCAAACTAGACGGAATAAACTAGACGGATTTTTCTGTCTAGTTTGCCTCAAACTAGATGGAAAAAAATTCTGTCTAGTTTGTTCCATCTAGTTTGTTCATTTTTCTACTAGTGGTTAGAATCAAGTTCGATACTGAAAAGAGCAAGACAATAAGTTAATAATATCCGATTCTGGAAAAATATCAAGAATGAAATCATGTTTGAGCAAAGGGGAGTGTCTGTATCATTCTAAAAAATCCACAAGAATAAATGAAACTCAATTTGGAGACTTATAGTTGTAGATATTAATGTTTTAGTTAAATAACGTTGAAACAGTTAACAACAAGTTTGAGACATATACCGAGACAAAAACTTACAAGCCATAACTTCTAAATCGGTTGTCAAAATCGCTATTATAGTAGCTTTTCAAAAATCTCTCAATTTGATCTGTAGATCATCGATCGTACTATCAATTATAGATGGCGCAAGCGTCCATAAACATTCAAATCATTGATTGGTGATGAACTAACCATCGATGGTTAAATTCAACCATCGATGTTAAATGGCTGATTTTAGATTTCTGATTTATTTTTAGAAGTAACCGTTCATTGTTAGTAGTATGTGGGCTCTTTCCTCACGTTTTTCAGCAGAGGTTCCTAACCTAATTGAGAGAGAAAAAGAAAGAGGGGGGAGAGAGAAAAGGAAAGAGGGGAGGGGGGGTTCAACTTAGAAGAAAGGATCTTGCTCAGGCTTTTGAAAAAGTATCCTAGACGTTGTTTTCATCATTCGACTGTCAACCTTCAAGGAGTGTTGCCCTTGAACTTCATCACTGTTCTTCATTGAACTTTGCTTATATCCTTCGAAGAATGGTTTGCACAATCAAAGGGCTATAAGATCTTTATGTATTGCATCTAGTTAATATTTAATATTTTGTATTAAAATTATTTTTTATGACATACTCAAGACAGGGTGAATTGAGGGTTTAAGGCTCACTCAAACCATATTTGAATTGAAGACTTATTCACTAGCTGGGCCTAGAGTTACTCCTGTATGAAAAGCTTAGGTTAGATGACTAGTTTGGGAGAAACTAGGTTTCGATCTTGTAAGCCACCTGAACCGACTGTGTGATTCAAAGAACTTTCACATAGTGAGGAAGCCCCATTTCGAGAAGAAAGAGTGAATATAGAACTGTTTATCCAAACCAGTAAAAAATCTTGTATATTCGGATTGTGATTATTTTTGTAATTATTGCATTGCATATTATTTTATTTACAATGCATATTCTATTATATCTTGAAAAATAGTAGGCAATCCTCGTCACTCCCATCTATACTTGCATCTCAAATCCAACACACCGCACCTTAATGTTGTCAAAATTAATGTGGATGTTAGATGTATGCTTGATTGCTTTGCCATGGTGATCATTGCTCATGATTATTTGAGACATAATATTCTTGTTAAATATTGTATGTACATAGACCTATATAGTCCCATGTCGGGTAGGATAGTACAACAAACTCTATTTATATTGTATATATGGATTACCATATCAATGAAGAAAGATATCTTTTTTCTCTAATTACTCTACATTTATCACGGTATCAGAGCCATCCAACTAACTCTACCCTCAAAATATGAGCCCTATAATCCCAAAACCCTAATAGTGTGGCCCCCCACGTAAATCACGCACCCTTCTCGTGATCACAAAATCTAGCAATCATGAGATTTTTGTGACCGGTTCTTGTGAATCGATCACTATTTCTTTCGCATAGTAAACTCTAGTCGTCGACATAGGTTTCCACCTCCGAAGTCTCGACCAATCTTTCTCACCATCACTTGATGCTTCGGTCGACCATGCCCAGTAGATCTGTACCAAGGCTCGACCCCACTCGAGCTAGATCTGCATCGGCTTGGCCATGGCGACGACTCGTCCACATGATCGCACCACCGCTCATCCACAATGCGATGCTGCTAGCCTAAGTTGACATCGTTTGAACATTAACGCAGAATTGTACCACCGCTCAATGTTCCACTCAACATCGCTCAACCACACTTGCTAGATCCTCACCACCGCTTGACCACATTTGCGCTAGAATCACATATGCTAGACCATAATATGCCCATCATCAACCCTAGTCGATGACTCATCCACACGACTGCACTACCACTCGACAACACGCACCAATCCTACACCAATGTTCAACCACCTTAGCCAAAACCACACCATCACTTAACAACTTGAGCCAAATCATCTCAGATCTAATTTGGCTTGACTACTTCATCCAAACTCAGGTATGTTGGGTGTAAAAATTAATTTCCCGTTTGAGGGGTCGTTTGTATTTATAAGAATGGCTTATTACAAACTAATGATCAATGTTTACAACAGAGAAGAAGGGAATGATCATTCTTGTTTAACGTGGGTTCTTCGGTAGCAGTAGGATGCCTCCCTTGGTGCTCGTGCCGAGTTTGCTTCCCTTGGACGATCCGATCGAAGTTGCGGTTAGAGTTCGAATGCCCGAGCTTGATGAGTATCAAGGCCGAATGCACCAAGAAGGCTATAATGCAAGAGTTTGCAGAGCTAATGAGCCAAGAGTCTCCAAATCTGAGAGTTCAGATTGAGACTTTAAAAATGCCAAGGGGGTTGTCCCAAGGAAGGTCCAGCCAGCCACTTAAAATCTTAAGTTCTAAAGAAGGCCAAGACCAAGCCAGCCCCTCAAAAGGTCCAAGTTCTCAAGAAGACCCAAGACCTCTTCTTATGTAGCCACAAGACCAAGCCAGCCCCTCAAAAGGTCCAAGTTCTCAAGAAGACCCAAGACCTCTTCTTATGTAGCCAAGTATGGCTATTTATAGAAAAGGAGAGCCATGGTTAATCCCTTGATTTGTGGGATATGGCCATGTCTTGGTAAGGAGCACCATGTTTCCCCCTTAATTTGTGGGATGTGACCACTGATGGGATAAGGAGTACCATATTCTCTCCCTTGAAACATGAGATGTGACCACTAATGTGTCCGTTCCCATACCTCAAGTGGACGGCTGACAAGCTAGGTGAGCTGGCGATCCATGTGGGCGAGCTAGCGACCTTGCAGGCGGGCTAGCGACCCTGTAAGCAGGCTGGAGACCCTACAGGCGGGCTCGCGACCCTGCATGTGGGCTGGCAACCCTGCAGGCAGGCTGCTGGCGACCCTCGCAGAGGGCTGAGCGCCTGCAGGCGAGACTCTGGCAGATTGTGGCTGGAGACTCCTACAAGAGAAACCAAGGGTCTGCAGTGTGAGCTTGGTGCTGAATGAGGCGAGCTTAGCCTTTCAGGCCGAGCTTCACAGCTATAGGCGAGCTCTGGCACGGGCGAGTTGTACAGGCGAGCTTGCCGCTTCGTGCAAGCCTGGATCATACAAACGAGATTCAAACTGGTCAGTCAAGAATTTCGCCGTGCGAGGCTATGCAGCGCAAGCTTTTCCTTTGAACGAGGCCTGGATATTGGCAGTGGCTGAGCTCAAGCTGGTTCAGCAAGCTTTTGCCTTCGAGCAAGCCTAGATCATGCAGGCAAGCTTCAAGCTGTCAGGCGAGCTCTGCAGGCGAGACTGTGCAGGCGAGCTTGCCTTCGGGTGAGCCTGGATCATGCAGGCTAGCTTCAACCTGTCAGGCGAGCTTGCCTTCAGGTGAGCCTGGATCAAGCAGGTAAGCTTCAAGCTGACAGGCGAGGCTGTGCGGGCGAGCTTGCCTTCGAGCGAGCCTGGATCATGCTGGCGAGCTTCAAGCTGTCAGGCGAGCTTGCCTTCAGGCGAGCCTCGATCATGCAGAAGAGCTTCAAGCTGTTAGGCGAGCTCTGCATGCGAGGCTGTGCAGGCGAGCTTGACTTATGCAGGCGAGCTCCAGAACATTCCACGAAGAACAGGTCATAACTTTCAAACCGTAAGTCAGAATTTGACGGATTATATATGAAAATCGACTATCTCGACGAGATGGAGCCAACCAAACCAACCCTAGAGGTTTGGTTTGCTCCCATCCATTTTGCCAAATTCCTTCTGGTTTGAGAGATATCAGTGTTTTCCCCTTTTTTGCTATTTCGGACGAGGTTTTAGCAGTCTTGTTCTAAACTTCTCTGATAGGGATTAAATGTAATTTTTTTTTGCCTACAAGGTATCACCAATTCCTCCAATCTATCAAACCTTATCTCACCAACATGACAATGCTGGAAATGCACTTTCACCAATAATCCATCAAAGTTGAACTTGACAGCGACCACTATCACCTTTGGTCCTACTCCCTACACATTATCCTGTGTATCCATAGCCTCTGGGATCATATTGATGGCACCACTAATTCCCCAAATCAACCATCCACTACTAGAGATTCTATCAAGGATGCCATTGCCCTCTCCTCATATGAGTCTGTGCAAATGACTTGGACCCTTGCTGAAGGTCGAGCCATAGTGGCAATAGTCTAATCCATCTCTTCTTCCAACTGACTTCAAATCACATGGTTTGAATCTGCTATATCCCTCTGTAAGTACCTAAAGTGGTTCTGAACCAAGTAGGATGATGCTTGGTAGTTCCAACTACATCAAGAGATCTCTTCTGCTACACGGGGTTATCGGTCAATCACCAACTTCTACACCTATATCTCTGACCTCTGGGAAAAACTTGTGACCCTCGAAACAGCCCTATCAGACCTAGACTCTAGGACCATCTACCTCAATAGTAGAGAGCAACAATATCTCTTCTAGTTCCTAATTAAAATCCAACTAGAGTTTGAATCCTTTCATAGCCAATTCATTCATTGGTCACCTCGACCCACTCTAGAGAGAGCTGTCATAGAGCTATAGG